CCCCAAAACCCCAAAACCCCAAAACCCCAAAACCCCAAAACCCCAATCTTTAACACAAAGATTGAAGATAATAAATTTAAATGCCTTCATTGCAGAAAAGTTATACCTAATATTTTCATAAATCTTCACTACAAAAACTTCTCTCATGAATATCTAGTCCCATTTGTTCTTCTCAAACTGATGGAGAACATCTTTCATAAATTGCATATCATTGGCAAGTAAAAAGCTAGTATGTCCTAAGAAATACTCCTCATAAAAGACTACGTTGGAGCCAAGCTCAGACTTGAGCCACAAGTTGTCCTCAACAGGAGATAGATGGTCTGCTGTTCCCACGATTTGAATTATCTTTGTATCTTTGATAGCCTTCAGATCTACCTTAGGAGGAGTAGTTTGGTTATAAACTTGCAAATTCAAAGCACCGTAATCAAACTTTTGAAACTTTCCTGATACTATTATTTGAGCGAAGTGTTCAAAAGACTTTAAGCTAGAGCCAGAAGGATAATGGGCCATGAAGACATCAACTCTTGAATGATTATTGGCCTCAGAGCTTGCATCAGCTACTAGTTCAATTAAAAAGTTTCAGAGTGAGGGAGATATGCTTCAGATTGTTGAAAAGATCAAGCTTTGATAGTAGTTATGATAACATATTTCAACAACTCCTAATCTCTTAACTGCATCTAAAAGTAAATTCTGATTAGCTAAATCTTTGACAAGTTTAGAAGAAGTATGCTGAAGTCTTCCAACTCCTCCAAGACAAGCAAATATAGAGACATGCTTGTTCCACCAATCAATATCTTCAGACATTTTGACTAGCATAGTAGTAGCTCCTTGTGAGTGGCCTAATACTGCTAATTTTTCCTTTTCTGTGGTGTTTAAGATGAAATCAATGAAAGCGGGAACATCATACTTTGCCATTTCTTCAAAACTGTAATCAAAGAACACATATTTCTCCTCAGAATCATCAGGGTCTAACCATTGATGCTCTCTGCTATATTTATTGCCTCTTGAGTTGCCAAGCCAGACATCATATCCCGCATTTGCAGTCATGAAGGCTGGAGACTTATCTTCATCATTCATGATAAAAGTATCTGCACTATCAACGACTCCATGCTGAAAGAAGACTGCTGGCTTAGATTTCTGAAGAGCTTCAGTGGGATCTTCATTTTTAGTTCCGTAAATCCTGAAAAGAGTCAGCCAATACCCATCTTCAGTAAGCACCTTGTACTTTTTGAATGGATAGCCTTTACTTCTACAGATCCTTGAGAAGGATCTTTTGGAATCTTCATCTGTAGTTTTATTCTCATGTAAAACCTTTGGGATATTAATCTGACCTCTCTTGCGAGGCTGAGTATCATACTTATAAACCAAGAGGAAGATTATGACTATCAGCAGAATAAGAATATGGTTGCCGTTCATCACTGATAAAGTTTCAATATTATAAGATATTTTAGGGGTTTTGGGGTTTTGGGGTTTTGGGGTTTTGGGG